ACAGACTTGGCCTCTTATCAATCACGCATTTTTGACTAAGTACTACAATTCAACCAAACTTAATGTCTCCATTAAGTAATGACAAACCCGCTGAATAACTATTATACAATATGATTCTTCACATTAATTTCCAATGAATATACTATACTTCAATAGTACAGGCCAAAAAGATACAGCACAAGTACACTTTTGGCACAAGCTTCCGGAAGTTAAGAGAAGAGACAAAAATTCAGAAAGCAAAATGCTGTGAATGCTGGAGATCAGAAATTAAAATAACAGAATGTGCTGGAGGACCTCAGCAGGTTTGGAGGAATCTATGGAGAGAGAAACCAAGTTAATGGTCCTAGTTCAATGACTTTTTCTATTCTGAAGAGTCATAATTAGACTTGAAATGCTAACTCGATTTCTCTCCACAAATTCTGCCAGTTGAATTTTTCCAGCATCTGTTATTATTTAATAAAAAAGGCACATGTCCTATCCAGTCAATCCAAGTTGGTGCTTATTATTAGTCCCATGCGTTCAAAATAAGAAAGAACAGTAAAAAGACAAAATCAATCACCCTGTACTTGAATTTAGAACAAGACAGAGGCATTAACAGCGCAAATATAGGCTAAAAGGGTATGATCTTATACCCATTATAATGACATAGTTACAGGAGATCAAAACTGAGAACTTGCTATGCAGAGCCTATGATTTTTAAAAAGGGCAGGCAGGAAGGACAGGATGGTTGGGGAGCATTGTAGGTAGGGGATGGAATTAAAAATACCTTGAATTCAAAAGATACAGAATCCATAGGGATAGAAGGAAGAAATAAAGATGGAAAGAAGATAGCGGTAGGAGTAATCTATAGGCCTCTAACATTTGCTAGATGGTAGGGCAGACAATAAAACAGGCATGTAACAAAGGCAATACATTATTCATAGGTGACTTTAATCTTTATGTGGATTGGCATAATCAGATTGGCAGGGAAAGCCATGAGGAAGAACTCATTAAGTGCATTCGGGACAGATTCATTGATCAATATGTGATGGATCCAACTAGGAAAAAGGGTATCTTGGATCAGGTAATGCATAATGAGGCAGATTTACTGATTGATCTCAGAGTATAAAATTCCCGTGGAAACTGATCACAACATAGTAGAATTTAGCATTCAATTTGACAGGGGAAGTTTTTAAAAAAATGAACAGAAGTTGACCGAAAACATAATAAGAGGGAGAAAACAAACTTTGAGACTAAACTTGCAAGTGATATCAAAGAAGGACAACAAGACTTTCCTGAAGTTAATAAAATGGAAGCGAGAACCCAAAGTTAATACAGAACTTGTAGATAACAAGGCTCAGGAAATAAGCAAGGTCATGTACAACTGAGTGTGGCATCAAGGAGTCCTAGCAAAAACTGCATTCAATGAGAATCAGAGGACAAACTCTCCACTGGTTGGAGTCATACCTGACAATAGGAAGATGGGTGTCGCTGGAGAGAATCAGTCATCTCAGCTCCAAGACATCTCTTCAGGAGTTCCTCAGTATAGTGTCCTAGGCACAACCATCTTCAGCTGCTTCAATAACCTGCTCTTTGTCAGAAGGGAGGATGTTCGGTGATGCTCCCACAATGTTCACTACCGTTCCTGACTCCTCAGCAGACCATGTTCAAACGCAACAAGCTTTAGAGAATATCCAGGCTTGAGCTGATACGTGGCAAGTAACGTTGACATCAAAGTTCCAGGCGATGACCATCTCCAATAACAAGCAAAACTAACCATCATGCCTGGACAACTAATGCATTGCCATCAATGAATTGCACACTAACATCTTCCTGGAGGTTACCAGTGACCAGAAACTCAACTGCACTTTCCATATAAGTAAGGCAGAGGCTACGAATATTGCAGCAAGTGATTCATGTCCTGACTCCCAAAGTTTGTCCACCATCTACAGGGCACCAGTCAGGAGTGTGATGGAATACTCTCCAGCTGCCTTGATGAGTGCTACTCCAACAACAAATCAAGAAGCTTGACACCATCCAAGACAAAAGCAACCCACTTGATTGGCAGCACATTCACAAGCATCCACTCCCTCCATCACTGAAGCTGAGCACACACTGCTGCTACTATCTATCTATTGAGATTTGTCAAAGGTCCTCAGATAGCACCTTCCAAGTTTACAACCACTTCCACTTAGAAGGACAAAGGCAACAGATACATGGAACACCACCACCTGCAAGTTCCTCTCCAAGCCACTCACCATCCTAACTTGGAAATACATCATCATTCCTTCACTGTCAATGGGTTAAAATTCTGTAATTCCCTCCCAAATGACATTGTGGGTCTACCTACAGCACATGGACTGCGGCAGTTCATGAAGGCGCTCAGTACCACCTTCTCAAGGGCAACTAAGGACAGTCAATAAATGCCGGCCAGCTCGGTATGCCCATGTCACACATCATAGAAAAATAATAATAATGATGGAGAACCTACAAATAGTTCACGACTCACAGCAAAGATGAATTCCATGAGATAATAAGGCGTGGAGCTGGATGAACACAGCAGGCCAGGCAGCATCAGAGGAGCAGGAAAGGTGACGTTTCAGGTCTGGACCCTTCTTCAGAAATAGGGGAGGGGAAGGGGGCTCTGAAATAAATAGAGAGAGGAGGAGGTGATGATAGAAGGTGGTGGATAGTGGAGCAGATAGGTGGAGAGAAGACGGACAGGTCAAGGACGTGGGGATGAAGCCAGTAAAGGTGCGCGTAGGTAGGGAGTTGGGATGGGGGTTGGTCAGTGAGGAGGGTAGGGGTGGGTAGGTGTGAGGGAAGACTGATTGGTCAAGGAGGCGGGGATGAGGCTAGTAGAGGTGAGGTGTGAAAGGTAGGACGTGGGGGTGGGGGGTTGGTCAGTGAGGTGGGAGGAGCAGAAAGGTTGGAGAAAAGATGGACAGGTCAAGGAGGCGGGGACGAGACAGGGGCGCTGGTCTTAGGATGAGGTCGGGGGTGGGGAGATTTTGAAGCTTGTAAAGTCCACATTGAGACCATTGGGTTGTAGGGTTCCCAGGCGGAATAGGAGGTGCTGTTCCTCCATTTTTCGGGTGGCATTGTTGTGGCACTGGAGGAGGCTCAGGATGGACATGTCGTCCAAGGAGTGGGAGGGGGAGTTGAAGTGGTTCGCGACTGGGAGGTGTTGTCGTTTGTCATGAACCGAGCGTAGGTGCTCCACAAAGCAAAGCAGTCTCCAAGCCTTTGCTTGGTTTCCCTGATGTAGAGGCGGCCACATCGGGAACAGCGGATACAATATACCACATTAGCAGACGTGCAGGTGAACATCCGTTTAATGTGGAAGGTTTTTTTGGGGCCTGGGATGGAGGTGAGGGGGACAGTGTAGGGGCAGGTGTAGCACCTCCTGTGGTTGCAGGAAAAGGTGCCGGGGATGGTGGGGCTAGTGAGGAGTGTGGAGCGGACAAGGGAGTTGCGGAGAGAGTGGTCCCTCCGGAAAGCAGATAAGGGTGGGGAGGGAAATATATCCTTGGAAAATTTATCCCAAAGATAAATTCCAGTGAGGAAGGAGAATTCTGGGAGGTGGACAAGCTAACCACAGTTAGACAAGTTTGACTAGTCTATTGCTACTTCCCTCAGTCTCTAATTTCTCCTAATCAATCACACGGCCAACATTTACATCAACTTCAAATCTCTAAAGCATTTCATATCTGTATTAATGTTTTTTTTGCAAAAAGCATTTTTGAATTACAAAGATTTCTGGTTGCACCAAATCCACTCCAACAAAGAAAATCTTGTTCCGCATTGTCTCCAGGGCATCCCTCCACACAAATACAGAAGACTGGAATTGTTTTGAAACACACAAATAAGATTTCAAATATTCCAACGTGGGCATATGGAAACCAAAACAACTAAAACAGGAACTGGGGAGGCGATGGTCTAGTGGTATTGTTGCTGGACTATTCATCCAGAGACCCAGGTAATGCTCTAGGGACCCAGGTTTGAATCCTGCCACGGCTGATGGAGGAATTTGAATTCAAAAAAAGAAATCTGGAATTAAGAGTCTAACAATTACCATAAATCCATTGCCAATTGTTGGAAAAACCCATCTGGTTCACTAATGTCCTTTAGGGAAGGAAACTGCTATTCTTACATGGTCTGGCCTACGTGACTCCAGACCCACAGCAATGTGGTTGATTCTTAACTGCCCTCTGGATAATTAGGGATGGGCAATAAATGCTGCCTGGTCAGTGATGCCCATATCCCGTAAATGAATAAAAAGGCAAAAAAAGAGAAATAATTTAACATGTTTAATGCAGACAAAGAAGCAATATGCTTTCTGAAATATGACTTCAAAGCTTTTTAATCACAAATTAATAAGGGATCTGACTTTTCCTCAAACTTAAAAATATACTAATTGCATCAAGTAGCTTTAAGCTACTTACTTTTCTGTAAAGTGGTAAAATTGCAATATGTAAATCCCACAACAATTCACTGATGAGATAACCAATTGCAATGGTAAGTACGGTTTCAGTTACTTTGCTTGTAAATGAAGCGTAATAAATGTTTCATTACAATATTTCACAATCAATACTGTCACAGAGGCTGAGCTGTATAGCCTCTGGCACAACTCATTACCTTTCACTCCATATTTAATTTGTGAAATTTGCATGTTTGGTTGCAGATCTAAACTCAAATGACAATGATCACACTCAGGCAGATATAATCCAACACTATCTACTGACTCCTTCTCCTAAATGCTTGTGAGATTAGCTGTTGAGGCCAGGATTTAACTTTCAGATCCATCTCTTCAAATGGCCTGTCTATAGTCATTCAACGCCACAGCAAGCATCAGATGTTGTTAATGAATGAAAAGGAGAAAATAAACCTTCCCCCACTAAAAAAAAGTTGCATAGTACAATCATTATAAAGGAAGACAAACAGCACTAATCACTCATGTGCATTTACAATCCCTTCAACCAGAATACTGCGTAACTACACTTAAACCAAAAAATACACACCTTGTTTACGTACATCATCCACAGCCACTAGAAGCTCCTCCTTCAGATCCTGGCTCTCCTTTGCAATCTGGTCCCCCTTCTCTAAAAAATTCTGAGTAGCTTGTTCTACAGAAGCAGCCAGTACATGTGCTTTCTTGGATCGACCTTTCTTTTTACTTGATGGACCCTTGCTGCTTGTATTCACGAGGGTGGTTACCTAAAGATAATAAAAGCAAATTAAATAATTTATGAACAATTTATATCTTCATAACTGACTGTAAACTCCCAAGGAGTTTTGCACAGATCTATAAATTCACATTTTTTTTTAAATGACAAAAAACAGTATTGCAGCATTCCTTCATGTTTATGGCTAAACAAAGTCTTGTGCTGTAAAACTTCAACGGCAATGTTAACAAAGTTAATATTACTAATTCATAACACCAGTCTGACTTCACCACAATTAAAATGGTTCCAAAATCATATTCACAGATAGTACATGGGATTTTGCATCATCTTAAATTATTGGAGGTAAAGTCATCTGCAGTTTCCCAAAGTATGATCTCTGTGAGCAATGCTCCTGATTAAATTGTTAAATCACTTCTCCTGCCTGTCAACCTCGAACAGTTTGTTTGGTTCTACGTAATTTGGTTCAATCACACCAATGTTTCCAGTCCAGCTTGTCGACTGACTGGAAACTGAGTCTGAACTAAAATCACCTCCAATATACACATTAAACAAAAAGGAGAGATTAAAAACTAAAACAACTTGATTGGATAATGCCTTCACAAGATTAGAACATTACACATCACTTTACAGCACTTTCTAAATAGTGGTCACTGATACAATGTATGAAGCAATGCAATAAATAAACATGTTATATTTTAAACTTTAAAAAATAAGAAAACTGATTAAAATAGTATTCTTCAAAACTAAAAGCAAAATTTTCAGTGTGCGTACGGGTCAATTGGTACTACACCAGCCTCTGAATCACAAGGTTTCAGGTTCAAGAGTTCAGAGTTGGAATATGAAAATGAAGGCTACATCTAATGCAGTACTGAAAGAGCACTGCACAGTTACAGTTGCCATCCTTTTGGTGAAATGTAAAGCCATACTCAGATGTCTGCTTGGATTCATGAGAAAGATCCCATGGCAATATTTCAAAGAACACCAAGAGAGTTAATCCGTGAATAAAGGAAAAACATTGTAGATGCTAGAAATATGAAACAAGTACAGAGAATGCTGGAGAATCTCAGTAGGTCTAGCAGGATGTGGAGATTGAAACAGAATTAACATCAAGTCTGAACTTCATGTTTGTTGGGAAGTTAGCCCTGTTTTTCTGACCAATATTCATCCCTCAAATGACAACACAAAAAAAACCTGGATTAATTAAAGTGCTCAGTAAATAGCACCACTTACAGCATCTGCAGAAACGAAGGCATTTGAAATGATTTGATATAGTTTAACCTGCGTAGCAACAATGACACCGAGATTAAACTGGTTGTTCAATTCTTAGAAAATTGAGATCCACAATTTTCAGACTCTTAATGGTTGGGGAATATTTGTGCAAACCAAAGATCAGAAAAATCATACACTGTTTGTAAATAGCTCAAATCAACTGCCAAATGAAACAGAAGTGCGTCCCTCACAAAGCAATGCTGATCCTAACACTAGGGTACCAGCAAAAGACATTGCTTAGCTAGAATGTTAGGAATTCCACATTATAAAAACAGAGCTGCTCAGGAAACTTAATATCTGTCTGCTTATCCTGTAGCAAAAAAGAAATAATCTAACACAATTAAAGCTTAAAGTAATTAAGAAACAAATGTGGTAACTGCCATGATTATTGCTGCCCCATGCTCAAGAGGGCACAATATTTATTTGTGTATATTGCTTCCTATCTTGTGGTTACTGTTCAGGGGCCTATTAGATCATCCCCATGAGGGTCTTCTTTCCCCTACTATTCTTTATGCCCATAGAAACCAAATTGTACATCCATAGCTTGTTACTTTTAAAGGTTTTGCTTATTAAGGTAGTGCCTGACTTTGATCTTATTGGTACCATTAACCACAACCAATAAATTGTCTCCTTCCCATTCCAGGTCCTTCTCCAGCCCAAACCCTGGAAGTGTAGGTAAGACAGTGTTGTCTGGACTCTTAAATCTTTGAAGTGAACAATGTCAATCACCCTCATTCTACTGGTCCCTACCAACGCATTTATTCTTATTTCCCTCCAACTAACCTCAATGGTTTCCAGTATCACGATGCCATGGCTAGTAAGCTTGTCTACCCCAAAACTCTCATTCTCATCCAAACAAGCTAAAAAACCTCAAGTCTGTTGAGCAACTGAAAGGCTGAGGCTACTATGCTCTGCCCAATGGGTTCCCCTACCTGCCTCATTTACGGTATCAACATAAATATAGCCCCACTGCAGCAGACACCAGAAGCAGTGCCACAAAAAGTTCAACATTAAGGCTCTTAAAGGCCTGGTAGAAACAGCCACATACAATCAACTTCTCTCCACAAGCCTAACAACCCTTGGCGACACCGAGTTACAGGATCCCAACAGTCTCTGGTCTGCCCTTAAGGCCACCAATGTCTGCAAAAACCCAGTCAGCCACTCAACCAGAAAATACCAAGATTGGTTTGATGAGAATGATCATGAGATTACGAACTATTAAGCTGAAAGCACATGGCATTTCAGATTATAAAACAACAACTGCACTCATAAGAGAAAAGGCAGGGCTTCAGGTGACTGAAGGCAGAGGTACAAAAACAAACCCACAACAAAGGTCAGGTGGTGGGTGGAGAAAGCACTGGAGGCCCAACAAATGGGCAACAACCATAACATGCATGGTTCCTTCTGTGCTGTCAAGGCCATACGTGGACCAAACACCCAAGTCTCTTCACCACTGCTAGCCAAGGACAGAGTGACTCTGAAAGATAAAGGTCTTGGGGGTATTGCTGAAGTGCTTCCTCTGTTCACCCGGCACTCGCCTGTCGTTTTGAAGCTGGAAGTAGAGTGCCTGCTTGAGGAGTCTCTTGTTGGCCATGTATTTGTCCACTCAGCTTACCCAAATCACACAAAAGCATCCCTGCATCCTTCTCACAGTTAGCTTCCAACTAGCTTTGTGTCATTTGCAAGCTTGGAGATATTACATTTAGTTTCCTTGTTGAAATCATTAATATAGTGTGAATAGCTGGAGTCCTAGCGCTGATCCCCTATAGTACCCCAGCAGTCAGTGCCTGCCATTTGGAAAAGATACATTACTTCTACAGTTCCCTGTCTGCCATCTAGTTTTCTATCCATCTTAATGTTCGAAACTTTCAGATTTATTTCTTTATTTTCTACTTTAAACAAAAAGGAGTCACTGTTCTACAATTACTGAAGCATTCTTTCTACCTTGTTCTTAAGATTCTGTACCTTGGTTCTTGTACCTAAGATGGCACCTTGTGTGGCAACATTACACACTTTTCACTGAACTCCTGTACTTTTGAACTTGAGTACATATGACAAGAAAAATCAAAATTCAAAAATCTTAATAAATTACCCGACATTCCATGCACTTTATTTTTACACACTAATCTGTCGTGTGGACTTTGTTCAAAGCCTTCTGAAAGTCAAATAAAATACATCATTAGAGACAAAAAGCCGGCAGATGCTGGAATCTAAGGCAGACAAACAGGAGGCTGGGAAAACACAGCAAGGCAGCGTCTGGAGAAGGAGAGGTTAACGTTTCAGGTATTACCCTTCTTCAGGGCTGGCTTGCTGTTCTTTTCCAGCCTCCTGTAAATAAAATACATTCATCTGCTCCCCCTTACCAAGTCTACTAGTTAGAATCGTACAGAGACCCTTTGGCTCATTGGGTATTAGTTACATTCTCAAAAGAATTCCAATTGATTTGTTAAGCATGATTTGCCTTTTGTAAATCTGTTTTGACTCTGATCCTGCCACTGTTTTCCAAGTGTTTTGCAATTGAATCTATGATAATGGGCTCTAGCATTTTGCTCACTATCGACATCATGCTGACAGGTCTCTCTGCTTTCATTTTTTAAAAATACAGAGGGGTTACATCAGCTTTCCTCCAATCTGTAGAAACTATTCCACAGTCTATAGACTATTGGAAGTGGACAACCAGTGCATCCACTACTTCGAGGGCAAGCTCCCCAAGTACAATGGGATGGAGATTATCAGGCCCTGGTGATTTATTGGTCTTCAATCCCAATTTCCTCAACATTATTTCCCTACTAATACTAACTTCCTTCAGTTTTCTCACTTTAAACACTACTTCCCAACAATACAAAGGAGTAAAGAAATAACATACCAGCAAACAGGACCAAAGGATGCATTCAGTTGATCAGCCATTTCATTGCTCCCCATTATAAACTTCCTTGTTTTTGACTGTAAGGGACCTACACTTTCCTTTGTAGTGGCTGGAATGAGGTCAGCCAGCTGAACCTCACAGAATGAGTTCCCTGATTGGGCCGATTCACAGCCCCAATCAGGGAGCCCTGGCTGACACAGGGCGGCAAAGGTCTAAGATGCTGACACTCTAGTACTGCCTTATTCAGAGTCAGCACTAATGTCAAGGACTGTTCATGCATAAATAAAGAGTGACATGGTGATAGTTACCACCTCTGTGGAGTTATTTCAGACTTCAATCTTTCTCTCTTCACATACCTATAAAACTTCTACAGTCACTCTTTTATGCTGCCCGCAAGGTTACTCTTGTACTATCTTTTTCTTAATAATTCCTTGGTCCTCCTTTGCTGAATTCTAAACTGTTCTCATTCCTCAGGTCTATTTCTTTTATGACCAATTTGTATGCATCTTCCTTGGATCTAAGACTAGCTCCAGTTTCCCCTGTCAGCCATTTTTCTCATTTTACTTGTGTGACTGGCAGGAATGAATAACTGTTTCAGTTCACCTGCGCACGCCTTGAATGTTTACCATCGCCTGTCTGTCATCATCTGTTTAAGTAACATTCCCTAATCTACCATAGCCAGCTTGTGTTTCATACCATCGTAATTTCCTCTAATCTCAAATAGACCCCAAATTCTCAAAGTCACTCTCCATCTTGATGAAGACATCTACAATATTACAGTCCTCATCCCTATGAGACCTCACAACGAGGTTGCCAATTATTCCTTTCTCATTACACAATATACAGTCTAGGATGGCCTGTTCTCTAGTTGGTTCTTCAATGTAAAAACCATCTTG